GTTCTGGCATATTTTATATAAAAAATTAAAAAAAAACGCCGGAACTAATAGTTCCGGCATACTTTATATAAAAAATCAAAAAAAAAATGCCGGAACTAATAGTTCCGGCATATTTTATATAAAAATTAAAAAAAACGCCGGAACTAATAGTTCTGGCATATCTTATATAAAAAATAAAAATAAAACCACTGAAACTAATAGTTCCGGCGTTTTTATATATTATATAAGATTGCAAAAAAACACAGTTCCGGGCAGCCAATCAGAATTGCGGAATTACGGATTACTAACCGCAATTCAACACTAAATTCCGCAATATTGCGGAATTTGAAAATCATTTGCTCACGACTTATGGAGAATAGATCAGATGCATGACAGCTTCTTTAGTAATATTTACTAATTTATTAAGATCAAATTCCCATCTAGATGTATCATCTTTAAAAGAATTGGCTACTTTATCTGCAGAAGAAGATTCGTCTTTTGGCTTTATACTAGCCTTTTTTTTCTGACTAACTTTATCTTTTTGCCCATTAGTTACTGTATTCAGACCATTAGAATTTGCATCATTCTCATTATCCATAGGATATTCCGTATGAGTGATCCCGTCTTCTTGTATAATAGTGGAGGAGGAAGTATCATGTAAAGATTCCTGATTATTTTCTGAAATCTGGTCAGAAATGCTAACAGATTCTATGATTCTACGCCATTCCTCGGTAGGTTCAGGAGGCCACTTATTATTAATTATTTTTTGATATGTTGTTGGTCCTATACGATGCTTTTTACACATAATACGCTGAGCATCTGGAATATTATTCTGAGCATTTCTAATTTCTTCAATAGCTTCAGATAACAAGCGTCGGGCATCTAATCTAAGAAATTTACGAGTATAGGTTGTTTGTTTTTTGCTCATAGTTTGCTAGTAATAAATCTGTATGATACTAATAAAAAACTTGTAGAAAATTTATTTGATATTGGTCTGGCATTAGTCTGGCATTAGTCTGGCATTGGTTTGTTACATATATGTAGTTCGCTTTTTTTACAGTGTAGCGTGCTATAATCATGATTCAAATAAAAAATAGGTTTAGGATATATATACTTCAAATATCATATTTGTTTTAAACTAGTTTGTTATTGGTCTTTTATTAGTTTGATATTGGTTTGATTCTGAACTCCTTTTTTCCATATTCGAAGAAAAAATATACATATGAATGATAATTTCGCTGATAGCCGTCAGGAAAAAAAAATCATAAAAAACTTTGCCTTCAAATAAATTCATATGGCAAACATATATACGCTAAATGAAATAAATAATGGGACACCCTTGGTATCTGGCAATAAACTTGGAGATTCACCATTTAATCGTTATCCATCTAGCCGAACTGAGCTTGAGAACCAACGTTTAAAACATGATCTAGATATCGCTTTAAGCTCAGGTATTCAGCTTGGCACTAGAAACAGTCTCTTGATAAAAAATAATGAGAGTTTTTCAGAGCGTGTATGTCAGCTTGAAGATGAGGCGAGAGAATTCAAAAATGAGATTAATCAAAAAGAGATTTCTCTTGCAAGTACTAAGAGCGAGATCGCTACAAAATTAGAAGAGATACAAGCTCTCCAATCAAGAATAGAGGAATTAGAGCAGGATGTTTCTTTGGTACAAAAGAGATTATCAGAGATGGATTTTCTTAAGCGTAAATCTGAACTGGAATACATAAAACTATCTGATGAAAATATTAGTTTAGAATTGGCAAATACGGAGTTAGAAGATACACTGGCCAAAAAAAAGGATGAATTAATGCGGGTGAGAGATGATTTACTTTCAGCACAAAAGGCAGTGATAGAGAAAGATTCCCTTCTTCAAGAAACTAATTTTCTTTTATTAGAGCATATTTCAAAAACATCCAGCGAATCTAAGCAAAATGAAGCGATTGGAGGTGATAAAAGACTGGAGAAAGGTAACGAAATCACTAGCCCCAAAATAACCTCAAAATCGCCTTATTCCTTATTTTTTCAGCATGCAATCATCTTCATAATAGTATTACTAATCATATACATCTTAAGGTGCGTATTCTCTCGTCTATATTTATCTTACAATGAAGAAAAAAATATTCCGAACTATAAAATACCCTTAAATAGAAATCAAGGTTATGCATTTCCAATCTGATACGCAGAAGAACCAAAAGACAGGACTACCTCTTATGAAACTTCGTCTTTTAGATATGGATGAAGTCACAAAGCATGAATCATCCCGAAATATTGGCCATCCGGCGATGACATAGACTTTCAGCAAATTGGTCACTGGAAAAAGTGGTTCAGGTAAGACTAATTTACTTGGAAACCTTGTTCTTGGTGATAAGGATGAATATGTGCAAAGAGGGGAGGAAGGTGGGTCTCGCTACATTAAATGTGATGATCTAATTGTTTGTAGGTATCATCCTGATGAGCCAAAATGGGGATATGTGAGGTATATATATAATATGATTTCAAAGGATCCAAAAGCGCCTTTCTATGAGGATATTAGTTTCAAATACATTCCACCCGAAAGAATTCCTAGTACAAGAGCATTCTCACCTGAAAGAAGCACACTAATTATTTTTGAGGATCTGTGCTTAGCCCCTGAACATATACAGAATCGAATTAGCCAATTTTTTGGGAATGGACGTCATCGAAATATTTCAAGTATATATGTAACCCAAAAATACCATAAAGTCCCTACATTCATTCGTGAGAATATCTCCCACCTAGTAATGTATAACGGTGGTGGTAGCCAACAAGATGTGTCCAAGATAGTTGGTCGTTATACTGATGATGTAAAAAATGCATCCATAGTTATTAATAGCTACCTTAAAAGAGGTGAATTTATTGTATTTGATCTCACTAGGCCAGAAGATGATCCCCTTGCAATCCGCCTAAGGTTTGACACTCCACTAAATCTGCAGAAGGAGATAGAAGCTAGGCAAAAGCGTAAGGAAAAAAGCTCCTTAGCTAATAAATAGAATCTGACTTTATAGATGCTAGCTTTTTTTCGTAATTATAAAAATTGGAATGGGAGAGCGTCAAGCTGAAAGACCGATTATTTATATCGATCCCCAAAAAGCGCGAGAGTTAGACCAAATAATAGCAAAACAAACACCTACAATTAATATCGATCCCCAAAAAGCTCATAATTTAGACCGGCATCTTGCTTTGCAAAAACTATATTATCGTTCTGAAGGTCTGTATCAAAATGTTAAGGGATTGTGGGATGCTTATAAAAAAGCCAGCTACAGCTTTCCATTTATTGATGTAAAAAAATGGCTTGAGAACCAAGCAATGTATCAAATTTTTCGTCCTTCACCAAAGCATATACCTTATGCCAGTTACTCTAAAATTACGAAGCCAAATACTGTGCACCAATGTGATTTAATCGAAATACCATATGATGAAGATGTGGATACAAATTTACTAGATGATGGCCCAATATATTACTATGTACTATTGGTTATAGACTGCGCGACTAGATATAAAGATTTTGTTTTTTTAACATCAAAGAGCAGTGAGGAAGTTGCGGAAGCATTTAAGAGTATATATGATAATCCCGATAAGCCTCTCAACTGGCCTCAAAAATTGCAATGTGATAAGAGCACTGAGTTTATGGGATACGTAACTTTATTAATGAATGAACATGGCGTTGAGATCCGAAGAATTACAGCACGTTTCAGGCATACAAGCTTAGCTATGGTCGACCGTTATGCTGGATTATTCAAATTAAGAGTTTTTAAAAATCAGTATTCAATAGAGTTTCTCCTACCTACTGGTAAGCGCTGTAGAGAATGTGAACGATTTGCAAGGAGAATTGTTGATAATATGAATGATACTCCAACCCGGCTAATTGGAATGAGTCCTAATGATGCCACAAAGCTTGAGCGGATATATTCCAAACCATCTGTAAAATATAATCGCCCAATAGGTATTGATGAACCACAACTACAAAAGAGTACTACTGTCAGATTCTTGCTTGCTCCTGGAGAATGGGAAAATGATCCTTTCAAAAGACGCAGAATAACAGATCCGATATGGTCTCCTAGCCTACATAAGATCCAGAGAATTGTTGTTGGAAAGAATCCTACCATGCCTGTTTTATATTACTTAGATGAATCAGAACCTCAAAGCCCTTTTGTGAGAGAACAATTGATGCATATTAAGGAAAAGCCCATGTTACCTCCTAGGTGGGTATTGGGAGATAACCAAATGCATACAAGGCGCCCCTTATAAAAGTTTCTAAATCTACTACACAGTAAGGGATTGTAATAAGGATTACTCCTTCCCGATAACATAACGCTCTCTTTTCCCAATCACGCTAGATTTATGCGTCTAGATTCATCTAACCTTGTGAGTGAAAAAAAGGGACGATTTGGTAATGTTGATTGCCACTATATTCAAAGGCCAAGCCTAACTCTTCATTGTATCCATCTAGATGTAATCCCTCCAAGAATTTAGGCTTTCGGGGTGGAAATTTTTTATGTAATAAATCCTCAAATATATACTGGCATGTTCTTTCTGGTATATTAGGACAAATATTGCACCATCTATAATTCTGTTTCATATTTTTATATGGCGCCTCCCATTGATGGCCTTTTTTACATGCCCATAAATATGTATTAGGACTAACTTTAGCTAAGCATCTTCCTTCACGCTTTTGGGCATATGCCAAAGCTTTAGTGTTAATATCATCTTGCATTTTATAGGTACAATAGAATATCACATACAGAAATTTGCGGTGTATATGCAAGAAAGCAGTATAAAATAACAGAGAAATTAGCAAAGTTCAAAATAAAAATTCTATATAATTTTGAGCGAATATGCTTGCTAGTAAAATACTGGGTTAGTGTAGTACCCAGCGCCAAGCCAAAAGAAAGTAAACGATGTGGTAGTACCCCAAAGTGATCGATGTAGTAATACTCCAAAGTGGTCGATGTGGTAGTATCCTAAAGTATCCCAGAGTAGTAACTATACGGAAAAGGGTTCTAGAAAGGCAGGAGCGAAAAATAAGATATAAAATTGGTAGTACCCCAAGTTAGAATAATATATAAGGAAAGAAAATAAGAAATTACAACTTGTGGTACTACCGCTGATAGGCAGGAAAGAAATTGGGAGGGCAGAAAGATTCAGGAGAATACACGAAAAAGGTATGAAAGCTGTAAATTCTGAACTAATTCGGCACTTCGTGCCTCATTCTCGGCAATCAAAATGGTCATAGACGGGATTGCAAGAATGGCACAACATCGGCACTTCGTGCCTGACCGGCAATCAAAAAGTGAGTGAATGGATTGTGAAATGTCTTCGGCAAATAGATGGATTGCAAATTCAGCACTTTGTGCCTCATCCGGCAATCAAGAAATGGCAAAGCAACTATGTGAGGGTGTTCCGGCACCAGAACAGTATCACTTGACTGGCACAGTAAGGCGCAGTATAGATTCGCTTAATTTTGCTTAGCACTATAATCCATATTTTTTTCCAAAACTTTGAGACGCAATAACTTGGCATCCAGGCATCCAATTCATGCGATCTTAGCATCATTGGAAAGCTCTCAACGTCCTCTTTCAAACAACCACAAAACCGCACAAAGCTAATCACAGGAAGCCAAGATATTCTGCCCTAAAGATCGGCCAGAAATTATACCATAGTGCCGGCTAAAATCTGATCCGCAAATTAACTGCGCCACCTGACGATTTTTTTATACCATTTTAGCAACTTAAAAGGCCAGCAAATGGGCCACACCCTCGACCTCAAATATGGCAACCAAAAGGGTCATAAAGTGGAAAACCCAACTTTACTCCTATACAATTGTCAAAAGATTCCAGAATGGAAAAACAAACCTCTGCTCTGTTTAATGACCAAACAGTCACAGACCAGTGAAAACAGATGGATAGCAATAAAGCATCAGAAGGGGTATAGACACGTAAAAATAAGTAAGTATGCATCAATATCTATAAGTAGGCATCACTATGGTGTAAGTAGATAGATTAAGTAGACATCACTATAATTATAGTGATGTCTACTTAATCTATCTACTCCTATTATTTGATATTGTTTATATTAGACAAAAAATTAACTGCAAAACACCTGTAGAAGCAGTATACTATTCATGTAAACGTTTAAATACAGAAACTATATATTACTATTGTGGCGAAAAAGATGGATTGTTGGAGTCAAATGAAAATTTGATAAAAAATTATCAAACAATATATCCTTTTTGTGAAGTTTGTAAGGAAAAAGGTTATAATTGGCCAACAAGAAGAAAAATTAATGCAGGACAAAAGAGAAAAAGAAATGAATAAATAATAAAAATTAATCTTTTCTATACATAAATATATGTTTATTTAATATGTTTGTTTAAATCATACCTCCCCTCCCTCAATTTTTTCTGACAAAAAAGACGTTAAACTAATTTTTAATTTGGAACGGCCTAATTTAGCAATTTTTCTAATCTAAGATTTTTTTTCTTTTATTTGCTTATAATTAATTTGAAATTAAATAATTGATTTTTAAATTGATATTACTAAAGATATAGTATATAATTAATAATCATTACTTTATATTATAATAGTAAAAGTTGCAATTTATTATTACTTTAAACTCAAAGTATTGTAATATTATAACATTTATGATTTTTCAAAAATTTCCTTTTTTGAAAAATAAAAATTACAAAAATAAGTTTATAAATAGATATCATTATAAAAAGAAATGATTGATATATTTGTATAATTGGCAATAATTATAATACTATATAATAATTATAAGGAATTTGACTTTTATGTGGGATGCATAAATTGCATCCCATGCATAGTAATTCTGATATATATGGGTATTTAAATTATTTAATAAATACATCATAATTGTCTCATACGCAGCTTTTTTTGATACGCGTCTAAATTTAGACTTTTTTATTTCACATGATCACGTGTTTAAATTATATTATACTTTTTTTTCTCAACGATTATCATCTTTCCTCTTCCCCTTTCTTCCTCTCTTCCTATCTCCCCTCTTCTTCTCTAGTCTCTCCTCTCAACCTCTTTCTCCCACTTATAAATTTTATTACAACTAAAATGAGTGACTCTGAATTTATGTCAAGCAATGATGAAATTTTCGATGAGGCTTTTGATAATGATTTTATTGAAAATATTTCTAATGACAGTGACTCTGATGGTGAAGATAATGGTGGTTCCTCCAATAAAACTCTGAAATTGGAAGTTGGGATGGCTTTTCTCACCTGGAAGATTGCACCTAATGACAGTGACTCTGATGGTAAAGATAATGGTGGTTCCTCCAATGAAACTCTGAAATTGGACGTTGAGATGGCTTTTTTCACCTGGAAGATTGCATTTAACCATATTAAGCAATAAGCTCATCAACAGGGCTTTGGCATACGCAAAGGAAGATCAGAAAAAAATAGAATCTAAATTAAGAAAACAAACAATTGTATGTTTTTGTGAAGGAGTTTATAATAATCAATCAAAAAGGAAAGAAAAGGAAAATATCATTGTAATTTAATGGCTCAAATCACTACTGTAATTCAAGCCGCAGCGGCTTGAATTACAGTAGTGATTTGAGCCCGGCTCCCTTCGGTCGCCTATTTGCATTTTAATAGTATTTTAATAGTATGAGCTTATCTTTGATACTTTTTTGGCATATAATTTAATTAATAGAAAAAATAATTTTTTTATGTAATAGAAGGGATGCGTATAGAAATACATATGCATTGTTTTATTTTTAGAAAATTTATTTAAATTTTTTTACCAGTGCGTAAAATATTCAAAAATTGAAAATTTTATATATAATATATGCATCCTACAATTTATGCAGGTGCGTAGAAAATAAAAACCTATAATTATAATACTATACTATAATTATAATAAAAGTTATAACCTTATAACCTTTTAAAAATAATTACATATCATATTTTTAAATATTACTGCTAAGACTTTAATTTTTAAATGTTAATTTCTAATTGAATTAATTGTTACAAATTATTTTTTTCTATTTGAATAAATATTTTACTAATATGCTAATTATTTTTCTCTTAACTCATTTTAAGAACTTTAATAATAAATTTCAGTAATTTTTTCTAACTTAAGATTTTTTTCTTCTATTTATTTATAATCAATTTAAAATTAAATTAATAGATTTTTAAATTGATTTTGTTGAGATTTTAATTCTTAAATATTAGCTTTTAATTGAACTAATTGAATTTGCAAATTATTTTTTTCCATTTGATGTTCATTTTGAAAATTTTGATTATTAATTTCAGCAATTTTTTCTAATTTAAAGAGCTCTTGTTTTAATTTAAGAAATAGAATTTCATTTAAATCTTTACTAGTAAAATTATGTAAATGACTTGTATAGTATATTTGTGAATAAGAATTTACAATATGATTAATATAATTATTACTTGATGCATTTATAAATTCCATAATATTGCTTTTTAATTCTTCATTAATATCTTCAATTTTCTTTTCTAAAGGAAAAGAAATCCAATTTTTAATAATATTTAAAATTTTTGATGCAGATGGCCTTTTTAATGGATCTTCATTCCAACATTTTTCCATTAAATCTACATAACATTGTGGAGTATTTTTAATAATTTCAGGACATTCACCTTTACAAATATCTAAAGCAAGTTGAAGATTATCATGTGCTTTATCATTAAATGGTGAAATTCCAGATGTAAATTCCCACATAATCATAGAAAAACTATATATATTACTAGCTTGAGTATAAGATTGACCTTTTAAAATTTCAGGTGCCATAAATGGTATAATACCATAAATATTATTTAAGGATTTTGTAAGTTGGTGCAATCCTAAATAATCACTAATATAAATTCCATACATATTTTCTTCATATTCATGACATAAAATATTGTCATCATAAAAGTTATAATGAATAAGATCTTCTTTATGAATATCATTAAGACCATCAATAATTTTATATAAATTAAATAATTTTTGTTTCCAGGTTTTTGTTATTTCTGTTAAGCATTTTCTTAAATTACCTTTATTTGTATATTCCATTATTAATATATAATTCAAAGTATCTGGATTTTTTGTAAATCCATATATTCTAATAATTTTATCTGAATCAATAATTTTCCACTATAAAAAATAATTTAGTTTATTAGTATAAATAAATTATAATTAATATAAAAAAAAATACTTAATCATACTTCATTTAAACTTTCATTTGAATTATTAAGATAATCAAAATCTTTAAGAATTACTTTGATTTCTTTATATTTAGCTTCATATATAGTACTAAATCCTTTTTTATCAGAATATTTATTAATATTTTCAAATTTATCATAAGGAATCCATTTTAATTTATTTTTAGAAATAAATTGATCCATAATTTTGCTTCCACTATAATCATATCTTTAAATATAAAAATAAAATTATATTAAAATTTAAAATGTAATTTACAATTAAAAATTTAATATTAAATAATATAAATTACTTACTTTAAATAAAATTATAAAATTTTAATATAATAATAAATAATTAATTTAATTTTTATATAAGTTTTATTATATATAATAACTTATAACTTACCAACTAAATAAAGTTTAAAAGATTTAATAAGTAAATATTATATAACTATAAAAAATTAATTATATTAAATTAAAAAAATGTAATATATACTTACAAGCTAAAATATTTTAAAATAAAGAATTTAGTTAGTTTTAATTATATGAAAAATATTATATAAATATAATAGAAATTTACCATCTGAAATATTTAAATAATTTTTTACATAAAGAATTTGGTTAGTTTAAATTATATATAAATATTATATAAATATAATAGAAATTTACCTTCTGAAATATTT